TTTTGACATATAAAGCCCACTCATTCTTCCCCAGATAATCTTAACTTAAACCAGCAAACAAACTACTACTACACCCATACTAACTCAACCTAATACTAACTCAAACTAAACTAAACCAACCAATACATAACTTAACCAATACATCTATTTTCTTTTGTTTATGGGGTACTCGCTGTGGTATTTAGAGAATTTAGACATGTACAATGAAGAACCAATCCGAATTAAGAAATTCAAGAAAGAAGAAGTCTTGGCTGATATGATAGGCGAAGTTGAATTTCACATTGATAATGGACCAACAGTTAAAATTCCTAAGAATCTACCCGATTTAGAAGAACAAGAAATCGCTTTCTCAGCCCTTCCAGATATCCGATCGGCCGGTCTTCACCAAGAATCCTTCATTTTCACTACACCCCAAGGATACTTCCATGTCTCATTCATCCAAGAGAAAGATCAAGAAGCTAAACGAGGTTATATCCAACGCAGTGTCTTTATTCGTACCTCCCAAATCATCAACTACCTGCCCCAATACCTCTCCACCCATCTCAAACACCCAAATGATTATACAGCTTCTAATGTGCTTAATCTTCTTATCCAACTTATTTCTCTTGATCCTAAACCTCTACCTACTACTCCACTCCCTAACTCCTTCCAAAAGTTACGTCATAAGCACAAGAAACATATCTTTGAAAACCTCATTAAATCCCAAAGATTCTTAGTTCTAGGTGCTACCCCAACTGAAGTTTCCACAGTTGTTTGTGAACTAGCTACATTCAGTGGACTCCCCTACGGCGGTCAAATCTTTCCTTACAAATCATCTTTCTTTGCCCAAAGCTCCGACCTCCATCTTATTATTGGCGCCACCAACGAACATATCTTCAAAAAAGACTCTTTCACTAATGTTATAGACTTAACTAAATCTATCTTCACCAGTACATCACCACCCACCACAACTAACTTAGAAACTCACTTCCTCCGACTCAGCGAGTACTTCCATCAGAACCCAGAAACCTTCCAAACCTCCAAATTCCTCCAACACCTTGATAACTTCGGCCTCGACCTACGTACCAAAAGAGTCCTACGTGAATTCTTTGCCGGCCCAGGATTCACTGCCTGGCTCCGCATCCAAGGATACACCAATTAAACCACCACTACTCAGTCTAAGTAGTGATTGAGTAGTGATTAAGTAGAGACATGATATAGATTGAGTAGTGATTAAGTAGAGATATTATAAAGTCAATTCAATTTAATAACACAAACCCCATCTAATCTAATCTAATCTAAACTTAAGACAATCTAATATAAACCAATCTAACTCCATCTAAACACAACACAACTTAACTCAATCTAAACCCAACTAAACCCAACTCAACTCAATCTAATACTAACTTAATTGACTACTTATTTATTCGTGGTACTTCAGCTTAGTCCTTCTATAATGTCTTCGCTTAGCATTGTAGTGCTGAGTGTTTCCTGGAAGAACTCTTTTCCAAGCTGGAACTGGTTTGTTAGATCGATTAGCTCTAATTAGCCGACGTTTTAAAAGACCCCCTTTATTCGCTGTCATGTCTGGGGTGAAAATTAAAAAAGAAGTAAATAGTTATGGTATAGTTTAGATTAGATTGAGTTGAGTTTGGTATTGAGTTGGGGTGGGGTGGTGTTTAGATTAGATTGAGTTGAGTTTAGATTAGATTAGGTTGAGTTTTAGTAGGGGGTAGGATGGGTTTAGAATTATAAAGCAGTTAAATCTGGATGGCAGACTTAACAACTCAAAATGTTTAAATTGCTCTTATGGTATTCGGAATAGTAGTTAGTATTACTCAATACGACTATTGCTTATTTCCTATCACAATACTAACTTGATGACTACTTAGTACACACTGCTACTAAGACGTAAGTTTAATAGAGTCAAGGTGTTTTAACTAAAGGAAATTTGTCTATCTACAATTGGATATGACGTCATACACACTCAACTATATTTATCTAATAAAAAGTACCAGTGTTCATATCAAGGAATGTCTTTAATGGAGTATGTATTGAGTTAGTATTGAGTTAGTAGAATTGAGTTAGTAGAATTGAGTTGCTGATTGGAGTTGGAGTTGAGTTGTTGGTTGGGGGATTTTCTTTTATGGGAAATGTTTGTCCATCAAATGATTATGTTTGAATCAGTTAAGATCAGATGGTTTAAAATGACTAAATGTTGGTTTGGTATTGTATTGTGTGCTTGGTTGGTGTTGCAATCTGGGGTTGGTGCTTCAGTTCAAGATGGTGGTTTGGATGGGAGGAATGGGTTGGATTTGATGAGTGAGTCTGAAATGCGTAGATTGTTGGGTTCGGTTGGGTTTAGTTTTATTAGTCGGATAGTAGTTGATTGGGCTAAAGATACTGGTTCTAACGAGAACTTGCTGGTAGATATAGATACTGATTTTGCTTTTGGTTTGGGAGATGTATTGATGAATAGGCCTGTTTATACGGTTGAGGCGGATAATTCTCTTGAGTTTGAGTTGCCTAGTTATGTAAATGTAGCTGCGGCGAATGTGGCTTTGATGGAGTTAAGAAAGGTTGCCGTCATTAAGTCTAGGATTGCTTTTATTCATTGTGCACCTGGTAATTCTGATTGCCATCAGATAAACATGCAGATTCTATCCCGTGTTATCAATATGATTGATGCTAATATAGTGAGTATTTACCTGGACAGGACTGAATATAGGAACTTGATAAATTTGGACTTATGTCGAGCAGAGGCCCAGAATACAGTTGATTATGCAGTTTATACGTCGGAATTTACACCCCATTTTTCTGCTCTAACTAATGATAGATTTCCAGATGTGATATATCGGGGTATTGTTTTCCGGCGGCCAATTACATCTATCTTTATGGCGGGCAACAGAATTCAAAATACGTCTTTCCTTAGCCAACTGCCTTTGCAAGGGGATTACAGTTTCTCCTTTCTAGCCCTGCCTAAAGTAGTTGAGATTGATTTTGCGGTGCTTCAGATGTTATCGGTCAGATGTAGTCAGATTACTATTATGAGCAGTCCAGGAACTAAGCTTACGATAACTGGTCTGGATAATGCTATAGACAAACATCCGTCGCTGACTCTAAGAATTCCCTGGAATGCCTTGCAATACCTGGGTGCATACAACCAATCAGCAATCCGGGTTTATAATATTATAGATCTTGACCCCATCACAACTTCTAGTGCATCAGAATTTCAATCTGCTGAAGAACCAAAATCTTCTGAGCTTCGAATCTTCGCCACGCAAATTACCGTTGAAATCGCCACCAATATGCCGTGCTGTTTCGGAGAATACTACAAACAAATCTACACTCTGCAAGCCTACGCTAAATATGGTCTCGAAGCCAATGAGGTCCTGGTATGTTATGGGGAGGGTCGAACTGATTTGGAGGACACCCTAGAAGCACTTTCTAATATCAATGATTTTATGAAGGTGCCTATTGACATTAAGGATGAAAGTGTTGTATGTTGCGGCGATGCACTCAGTGAACCTAGCTGGAAACTAAAGCAGAACATCGAGATCCAACTTGACCATTGTAGAATCCACAATTGGCTTAGAAGGTGTAAAGAAGAAAAGATTCACTTCTGCCAGAATATACACTACCCAGCGATCGAAATCATTGGGGCCGAAGTACCATACAAACAGCAGGTTAAAGCATGCATTGACATTCTAATTCTATTTCATAATATCTCCGCCAAGACCCTTCGTATTTCTAATGTTCGCAGTAACAATCAAACCACCTCGAGGTTTAGTATGGCTACTCTAAAGTCTAATGCGGCCAAATACACTAAGTGGAACCTCAAGGTCGAAACTTTAGTGCTAGATAATGTCGATGACCAGATCATTTACTGGATGCTAGGTCACTACGACTTTACTGAACGCACCGAAGTGCATATTCTAAACGCAGGGTTCTCTAACCTTGCTATCACTCAAGTTCTTTCTCTTCCAGTAGGCCGCCAGATTGCAACGATCTTGATCAATGACTTCCTCGGACTAAATGAGGTTAAATATTTCGTCCAACGCGAACAAATCAAAGGCTTCTCACTATTCAAATACGTTGCAGACAATCCAGCGAAAGATCTTGGCCTGAACAAACTATCTTTACTGCTAAATGATATTGAACTAGGTTTATACAGTGCGATTTTGCGAGAGTTTGTGGGCTATGGCCTTCATATTCCGGCCATGCCTTTCAAGAATTACATCAAACTTGCACCTACTAACCCCGGCCCAGCTGATATAGCAAACAAAAAGAGGTTGATTCTTTACAACGCCACTCTCGAGGCCATAAAGTCCGATTTTGTCATCTGCCAAGCCACGAAAGACAGCGTTCAGCTGAATTCCATTGCCAATCTGCTTGTGCGTTTCAGCGATAGGCAGACATTAACTGAAGCGTGTGTGGCGACTATTATCCGATGGGCAGCTTGTCGATTTACAAATCTATCTACTTTGCGGCTGATAAATACTGAGATGCCAGAGAGCGAGCAGAATAATATAACCGCCCGTGACTATTTAATCCGTAAGCTAGATTTACTCAATAGCATTACAATCGAATCAATCGACCCAAACACTCCGCCAATCGAACTACTAAGTCGTCCACTTCGCATCAGCTCTGTAAGCAATGCATCTAACACGACACCCATCTCTATTCTCATGTCATCTGCCTTGGCGTCCCAACTGGCTTGTCATCCCGATCAGCTTGATAGTCTTACATCCAGCAGCCATAGCACGGTTATCTCATACCAAAAGGTTATCGAAGACCTCAAACAATCCAAGCAAGACAACAACTTCGTTTGCCCGGCCTGCAGGGATGTTCTTAACTTACCCGAGGCGGCAAAGGAACCAAAGCTAGTTCCCAAAGAGACGTTTGCAACAATTTACTATCTCACGTGTGGCCACAAGCTCTGCAATGGCTGTGTAAAACAAGTTGACCGGAACAAAGGCTGCGTAACTTGTAGAAGAGCCGATGCCTATGAAGCCATGCACCAACTTATCAGTGCTCCGCTATCTAATTTTGTGTTTGTTAAGGATAGTGTGAACACCTCCGCCGAAGAACC